TTTCTCCAGATTATGCCAGTGTGTTGGGAAATAAGCAGGCAAATAGACAGATGTTTGACAAGCTAGATATTGTGGGTGCCCTTTGGGAATGAGTGAACAGTGCGGAGGCACAGATAGATCATTACGGTCTGAAAAGAATAGCGCTGCGAGGAGTTACCCGGGGCTCTGGCCGACACTCAACACTCAGGGGAAGGATGAGACCGATATACAATTAGATGTTTACTTGTGCCATTGGAATTGGAACTCTTCACTTGCTGCTGAAGATGGGGTCTGAGCACTTATGGGAGTGTCCTGAGTGCCGTGATGTCAATTCTTAATTCAACATTCAGCATTTTTGTTAATCTAATCATTGTTGTTGCCATCTTACCTATCTTGATACTGAAATGCAGCTTCGGGGCTAAGAGGTTAGTGTGTGCGGTAAACAGTTTCATGATACTTGAGTACTAGGGTTTGTTCCCTGTCGTGGAATGATTTTGTCTTTTAAGGGTTTGTGACAGTGATTGACATTCTGTGTGTATTTCAATGGCACAAAAGTGGAGCAACTATGGGGTGACCCGTTTGCTATGAAGCTAAAACTAAGATTGACAGATACTCATTTCTCAGTCCAGTGATATTTTTGTTTCACTGAGGATCCTATTAGCACTTTGCATCATAATCTCTGTCTTGATTTTGCTGATTGTTAGCCCAACTTCACAAGCATCAGCAAATGCAGATAGTAAAGGCTGCAGTTCTTCATATTTTCACGTAATGAATTTAAATAATGCGGACACAAAGAATACATTACCCAGTTTATTGCCAGGCATATTTCGTTGTATCTCGTCAGGTAATTACAGTTCTTCTGCCCTCTCCCAGTGTCCTTCACTCTAGCCCTTTGTAGACTTGTTCTTTAAAATTTTAATGGGTTGAGGTAGTCAGTCTCATACTAACTTCCCTAGTTGCCTCTTTTGATATGTCAATGGGGTCTATCTGTCAGTATCCTCTTCTTGTCATTGTTGACACACAAGGCATTCACAGGTGATCTCCATTGTTTCCTGTCTGGTGCTTTTCTGCCCATTGTATCAGATGTTATTCTTTACTCCTTTATTTCCATTTCTGCTGCCCTTTTCCAGGCTTCCTTAGATCATCCACATCTCTTTTTTTCCTTCTGTCTCCATCCACCTGAGAGCTCTCCTAGCAAAAAATGTCAGAGGCATTCTGCAAACATGTCCAAGCCGTCCCCATCTTCTTCCAGTGACGAATATTTTGTTTTCCTCTACAGTTCTTCATTTGCGACCTTGTTTGGCCAAAATATGCTTAAGTAAGGTTCTTTTTAGACATTTATTCTGAATTCTGTGTTTATATGTCATTCCCAGTGTCATTTTCTGTCAATTTTTTATTTTACTGATTCTTTCTTCATTTGTAGTCTTTTCGGTTGATAGTTTTTGTTTCCATGAAATACGACCTATTCTTCTGTATATCCACACATTTCTAGAAACTCAGTTAAATTTTCTAGTTGCTTTTTTATTGTCCAAGTTTCCGCACCATACAGCAGGGTTGAATTATACATAACATTTGACAATTTTCATTTTTAATGTATTGTATAACTCTCTAGCTGTCAATAATTTTTATATCTTATTGAAATTAGTTTTAGCCATTCCTATTCTCTTTTTAATTTCTGTTTCACTTCTGCCATCATGTGTTATTACGTGTCCAAGATAGGAGAAACTTTTTTCGAATATCTCTCTGTTTACTGTGATTTTCACTTTTGGTCACTTTTTTCCATTGTTAATTGCCATAGTGTTTGTTTTTTCGAATGTTAATGATAGGTTATGGCGTTACTATTCTTTGCCTCCTTTATGGCCCCCAGTAATACATGGGCATTGATTAGTAACCTAATTGAATTATACTGAAACAGTACTTCCATTCAAGTGTTTGCCTGCGAACCTCCCTTTATCCAGCATTGTCATTAAGCACATTGCATGAATCATGTAGTGTGAGCAACATGCTGTCATCAGTTATCTACATATGCTGCTTTGAATTAATGTGGTATAGCACAGATGTTACTTTTGTTGAAGCAAAAGGCATTATTTACTAGGTCGTTCTGTGTTGCTAAGCATAAGTTATGAAACTGCTGCAGCTGAATTCTGACAAACAATTGATGTTTTTTTCCTGTGGACTAACACTTGTTTCTGTGAGGTATTTGGTAGCAGTTTTGCTGATGTTATATTTGTGCCTACCATTATTATTCTTATCCTCACTTTTATTCCTCAATGAAGCACATGTCCTCAGCCAATTTACATCTGACCTATCTATCTTTTGCTAACACCGACAACTCTGTGTACTCTCAAAATTATTCGTCTCTGTCCATTATTCTCTTGTTCACGTGTTTTAGGTTGTCTTTCATTTCTTTTGCCTGGGGGTTCCTTGAAAAAAAAAAGATTTTTATTGATATATTGTTTCCTTTTGCAACTGGCCGAATGGTTAAGAATACGGGGAGACCCAGGTTCGAGTCCTCAGTAAGGTTGTAGATTTTTTCTGTCCAAGGCGAAAATAAAACTCTAACCTGCACATTCGTGTCAACGGCACTAGACGTGGCCCTAAATCCTCAAGCTCAAACCCCTCCCCCTCTGCCTACACTGCAAAAGTGGTAAATACAGGCAGTAATGGCAATTTGTGTGTGTTTTCCTCTTATGTACGGCAAATCCAGTGCCAGTGTATCTTCCTTACCTCTTGATTCACTGGAATCTAGTCAGTTCTCTCCACAGTTACAGATACTGTCATCTCTTCTTCTTTCGTTGTCCCTGCCAGTGGTTTTCAGATGAGAATGTCACAGGCCTCTGTGAAAATGTGGTCTGACCCATGTCCTCCACTGATCCATACAGCTTGGTTTCCACCCACATGCTAACTCTCCAGACCTGGGATTGTCCTGCTGCATGCAGAACACGAGTCTGCTGTACATTTTTAACAGTTTTCTGGGTGCTTTATTAATATATTACCCCAGATGACGTCATAGGACAGTGCAACATTTTAGAGGGTGGTAAGACTGGATTTCCCAGCTTTCTGATGCTTTAAACGACCCCTAAACATCTAGAACTGGCCCTAACCTGAATCCATCTATGTCCACGAGGGAGTGCAACTTAGGTCCCACAACTGCAATCAGCCTAGGTACCACATCCGCATGTAGCCTATCTACCACCCCTGAAATATTAGACTGTCCCGTGGCCTGTGGATTTCCCCTGTTTAGGGTAGGGTATTATTAAAGCACCATTTTCCGGTGTGCGTGGCCCTCATCTTGAATGTCCTATATATATATATGGCTGCTGAGTCTGTCCATATCACAATCTGAATACAGTGGTTTGTTGCTTGCATTTCATCCTGTCATCTCATTTGAAGTTTTTTTGTGTGCAGAAATATCAGTTAATATATGTTTATATTTATTAGTAATCATACAAGCTGTTTGTTACTGATAAAAAGAACAGAACTTATTCAACTTCTTCATCACTTCCTTTTTTACCATTTCAGGTGTTGAGAGAGGTATAAGGTTCTTCTTCTTGCTCTTCTGACTGCCTCGACCACAGGCACATCATGCTGTTTTAGAGTTTCTCTGATATCTTTCCATCTTGTTCTTGGTCTACCTTATGCTCTACAACGTCCTCCTCCGTTGGTGTATTCTTAGTATTCTATGGTCTTAAAAGTCATTCTAAGTGGCAAACCATTTGATTTGCTGTCTTTGTATGTAATTTACAATTGGTTCTGTACTGACTTTCTTTTATGATCTCATTCCTGATTTTACTTCTTTTGGTCACACCTCAAACATCTCATTTCCAAGTTCAGCCAAGATTTATCATCGGAGTGAAGAATACAGTGATATATAAACTAACTGATCAAACAGTATTCAACCATGGCAGTGTTAAAGAGCTGATTTAACACGTATTAATTATTATGTTTGGTCCTGGGTTTAATTACTGTTGACTTCTGGACTTTTTCTAGTGCTATGAAAGCACCTGTTTCCTTTTGCATGCTTTTTTGAATTTCTGTGTGGGTGTCCCTGTCTCTATACGCATTGCTAGCTAAATAGGATTAATTTCTTTTTCTGCATTTGCCCTTAAAAAAAAAGGGTTTGGCATTTTATGTTGTGGTTTACAGCCAGGCTGCGATATCTGAACCTTTTAGCCCAGCACAGCAGATCCTTAATAAGTCATCTTTTACAACATGTTTATTAGGGGAGCATTGAGTTTATTCTTTTGTACCCCAAAATGGTGCCCCCAAACCCACACATGGAAAATCAGTGTATTATTACTTTTTTTGAAGTGAGTTTTATGTGTGCTTGTTTTGTTGTTGTTGTTGTTGTTGTTGTTGTTGTTGTTGTTGTTGTTGTTGTTGTTGTTTTGTTGTTGTTGTTGTTGTTGTCTTTGCTTGTGAATTTTCAGACCTTATTATGTTGTGACCTTCCATAAAGTGCAGCTTCAGAACAGTATTAGTATGCCACGATTGGGTGCACAGCTATCTATTCCACCCCCAAAACCAAGCCACTAATATTCTAGACTCAGCGATTATCGGTCTGCAACCTACTTTTGGCAATGTGCTCAAGAAGATCATTGCTGTTGTTAATAGACCCATTGCTTCCCTAGAATGTTTTTAGGCGACTAATTAGAGGTTTGTCCTTCAAAGTTGAAGTGCATCTGGCTGAGAGGCAAGAAACCAACAGTCTGCATACAAATAAGCCAGATCTGTAAAATGAATGTGAATGTAAAACACAAGTTCTTGAACAAGACCAGAAATGCATCAACAACCAGGCAGATAATTAAAATCTTATTTGTTAGACCAAAATTTGCAGAAAACGCAGCCTAGCTGCAAATCTCAACATAACCTGATCACCACCCTTTTAATGGAGAATGCAGAAGAAAAAATATGTTGCCTATGAAGTTATTTGTGTTTAAATGTGTATTTTTCACATATATAATGTGTTTGCAGACATAAAAATATCCACACATGTAGAGTCATATATTTTTTCTCCACAGGAAATGGATGAACTGAAAATAGAATTAGATGTTTGTCAGAAGCGATTAGATGCAAAATATAAAGCAGTGGCTATCCTCAAAGAGCAGGTTGGGATTTCGTTGTTGGTGTTTCTTCTTGTCTTCTACTTAGTGTTCACTGGCTGTAAACTCTGGTGGGTTGTTCATCCACTTCTGGACTTTGGTCTTGTTCCAGAACTTGATTTTTGCATACACATTTGTTTCACAGATCTGGCTTATTTATATGCAGACAACTGGTTCCTTGCCTCTCAGGCAGATGCCCTCTGACAGAAGAAAATGCCCCGACATAGAAGGAAACAACCCTAATAAGTCTTTGCTGGGGGAGGGGGTGGTGTAGCGACTAGAGGCTTGCCTGTGGATACAAAGGTCATAGGTTCAAAACTGAATGAATTTGGACTTTTATTCAGGAATGACCTTTGCTCCCAGGCTGACCCTGCCTTAAATGGGTGCATAGTAAAGGGCGGCCAGCATGATGTTGACCAAATCACCCTACTGAGTGTCAATTGGTCTATAAAATGTGTACTCAGTATGCTTAAAAATGGGATAAAGGGTCCCTTTTTAAGGGGGGAATGGGACAGTGGGTCTGTTCTTCCCCCCCCCCCTTCAAAATGGGGCCCCGGAACCCACATAGGTAGCCACTGGTGTTTCACTCATTGAATACCAAGCAACTCACTATTTATTTAATGATTATATAATGTCCCCTATGGATTAAAAGGCCCCATTCTGATGGGGGTGGGGAGATGGGTAAAGTGGGAGGAGAACAGACCCACTGCCTCCTCATCAAGCATGTCAAAGGAGTTGACTAATTTGGAGCTTTCTTCGAAGTCAGAGTACATCTGCCTGAG